ATTCCTAGCTGCGGCTCAGATCATGATGACTTACTCATCCTCAGAATCTCAGAGGAGGAACAAGTCTGGGACCTTCCAGTCCAGCCCATTCTTGACCAGGCATTCTTCTGCCACTGCCCAACATCTAGCCTTGGACTGAAGCACTCTGCGGCGGCACCCCAACCCGCCCCCACCTTTCAACATTTCTCAACGTTAGATTTTCCCTTGGGTCCAGATCTGCCTGCCAGATTCTCCCCATCTTCGTTGTCTGGCGCAACAAGGCAAATCCATCTCGCCAAGGACAGCCCTGCCAAGTGGATGACTACAGCTACTGTATCCCTCCTAGTCTTCCTTTTTCCAGCCTAAACATCCCTGGGGCCATGACCCCAAAGCCCACTGTCCTCCTGGTTATTCTCCTCTGGACCTTCAATCATGGCACCCATAACTGACATGGCACCAGATATGGGCTGACATGAGCAAAGGACGGTGGGATACAGTTCGGCAAGCTATGATGCTCTGTCTCAGTGCATGCCAAGGTCCCACTCACTGGGCATTTGGGATGCTCAGTCACATCATTGACACATGATTTTGAGAGGGAAGCTCGATATAGTGAGTGGGACCCTAGAGTTAGACCTGAGGTCAAATCTTGTCTATACTCCCTCTATGTGTCTCAGTTTCCTTGTCTGTAAAATGAGGGGGGTAGATTCAATGATCTCCTTGGCTCCTTCCAGCTCTCCATCTATGTTGCTGTGGTTTTTGTGGACCAGGTGTGTGCCCCCTGTTCCAGGATGAAATAGCTCCTTCCAGTCCACAGATGTGTGGTCCTGTCACCCGACTCTTTCTCAAGTCTTTCTCTTCTGTTTGACTAGACATATTCCCATTGGGAGCTGACGCTTGCTTTCAAAGCTTTGTTAGTTATGCTGTGCCTCAAATCATCCCTCTTTCTGATGGAAAAAGACTTTTCCTTTGCTTTCTCCCCTTTCCTCCTCCACCCCTTCTTGGCCACCAGCTCAAAAGGATGACTCATCTTTCTTGTACACACTTCCTGGCCTCCCGGGCTACTGTCTGCCCATCAGTCAGCACATGGGATGGGCACATGGAGTAGCTCGAAAGCCCTCACTCTTAAGGACTCCTTCTGCAGAGAAATGGGACATTTAGGAGCTGTGTGGCCCTGGCCAGGTCATCACCACTCACTACTTCAGTAACCCTATCTGGAAAATGGGGATAATAGCATCTACTTCTCAGGACTGTTGTGAGCATCCAGTGAGATGATGTATGAAAAACTTGGAGCTGGCGATATTTTTATTCATTACTGAAGATTTTCATCACGGATGGAAGATTGGGGTCGTGGGAAATGGCAAGCGTGAAGGAGATAGATGGAGATGCTAGAACTTCATAGATGTAGAGATACAAAGGATCTCAGAGATCATCTGGTCCAAGCCCCTTCAATTTACAGATGAGGAAACTGAGGCCCATCCAAGTAAAATGACTTAACCAACGTCACTGAGGTAGTAAGCAGCTTCAAACCTAGGTGCTTTGGCTCAAAGTCTGGTGTTCTTTCTACCATACCCTGGTACTTTTCTGATGAGTGGGTAGATGCTGTATGGGGAAGGGTAGATGGTGACAAAGGCAGCCAGTGTGTGTTGGGGGGTGTTGCCATTTTCCTAAAGCACAGGGCTGACTGTTACTCCCTTGCTTAGTAAGCTCCAATGACTCCTTGTTACCTGTGACATCAAATGCAGATGCCTCTCTCTGGATTTTAAAGCCCTTCCAGCCTGGCTCCTGCCTACCTTTCCATCCTTATTACACCTGATTCCTCTTCACACACTCTATGGTCTGGGCAGACTACCTTTCTTGTTTCTTACACATAACACTCCATGTCTTAGCACCTGAAGGGCCAACCTCCTCGCCTCTTTGCCTCGGAGAATCCCTCGTTTGCTTCAAAGCTCAGTCAAGCATCACCTTCTACATGAGGCCCTTCCTGGTCCTTCCAGCTGCTAGAGCCACCTCTCTCTTCCTCCAAAAGCATAAACAGAAATTTACCTGGAGTAGGTTTGGCGCATATCTCTATATGTACTTGCTATTACCCCTGGAAGACTGTAAGCTTCTTGAGGGCAGGGAACTATTTATGTCTATGTACAGTCCCTGGCGCAGACCTGGTATATTTTAAATACTTGCTGGTTGATGGCAATCTCAGAGGCAGTTGGTGAAGCTGGTGGTGATGGTCAAGTTGGTGATCAGAGCAGGAGGATGGGGAGAATGCAGATGGAGGAATGAGGAAGCAGTCAGGGAGTGATGTGTGATAGGAAGGTTAGGGAGAATGCTGAAGGTGGCGGCAGTGATGGGGGCCTCCAGGATGGTCATGCTAAGTGTCTGGTAGCACAGAGAAGACCCTTCCAACCTGTGATGTGGGCGTTGGTGGGGCGGGGTGGAGGACAGAGAAGGGCTGGGGTCTTGGTGGGCAAGATTGATCTTGGGAAGGATAAGATAATAGAATCCAGATGAGTTTTCCACCTGGGGGCATGGAGAGGCTGTTTGTACCAGGAAGAAAGGCCTTGACTTAGAGTGAGAGGACTTTGGTTCCAATGTTATCTACTCTGTTATCTACTACCTCATGACGTTAGGCCATTTGCTTAGGCTCTCCAGGCCTCAGTTTCCTCCTTTGTAAAATGAAAGGGTTAGCCTCTGAGGTCCCTTCCTGCCCTAGCTCCAGATCTCCTGATCCTCTGTGAGTGGGGAGGGAAAGCTGGCTCCCTGCTGCTGCCTAGCCCTGGGGCGGGTACTCTCTGCCTGTTTTTCTCCCGCCCACCTTCTGTGGACAGCCCAGCCCCATCAGTTCTTTGTAATGGGGCATGTGATGGCCGAGGCTGACTGGGGGAGGACAGGGGAATGGGTGGGGCAGGGCAAGGGCGAAGGGATTCTTTGGGCAGTGGTGGAGCTCCAAGAAAAAGGGAGGGGATCCCTGTCCCTTCTCTCTCCTGGACTGTTGATCGGTGTGTCTGGTAGAATGGAAGCCAGAATTCTGTTCGTTGTTCTCTCCTGGGGCAGGCTGACCCTGTTACTCTGTCCCAGAAGGAAACGCTGTCTTTCTGACCGCCCCACTCTTAATTGAATGACGTTATAGTTTCCTGTGTTTCTTGAGTCAAGGGGCCAGTGATCTGCTTTGGCTTTCTCATCTCAGGCCATGCACCAAAGGCCTCACAGACTGAGTTAGAAGGGGCCCGGAGACCCTCAAGTCCAACCCCCTTGTTTCCAGAGAAAAAAATGAAGGTCAGAGAGGCTGAGTGCCTTTTCACGGGTCACACAGATGTCCATTTTACAGATAAAAAACCGAGGCTCAGACAGATGAAGAGATTGGCCCATAGTCACATAGTTAACTAAGTGTCTTCCTAACTCCCAGAGCCCTTCATTTCAAGTCAGAGGACCTCCATCCGAATCCTGCATTCCCTGGGTCACCTTGTTTAACCTCTCCGGGCCTCTGCTCTGTAAAATAGAGGGGAGCTTTGGGGTGCTTGGACCAGGGGGCCACTGAGGTGCCTGCTGGTTCTTGATCTTACCACACTCATCCTCTCACGCAGCCTATAGTTGAGCAAGACTTCCTTCCAAGAATCCCTGAGCAGTGGGCATCCGCTTTGGCTGTAACATGGACCTCCCAAGGCGGCCCCCTTTATTTTGGGACAAGTCTGATTTGGGGAAGATTTCCTGATTTATCATCTTCCTCTCCTCAACTTGTGACCACTGTGCATGGAGCTAATTGCACAAATACTGGTAAAGCCAGGATTTGAACCCGGTTCAGAGATCTGAGATCATTCAGTCCAATCTCCTCATTTTACAGAGAAGGAAACTGAGGACCAGGGAGACCTCAAAAGAGAGGTTCCAGAGGCAGATTTTTGCTTTGTGTGAGGGAATACTTCCCACCGATGAGCTCAGGCTGTCACCAGACGGAACGGGTTGCCTTGGGAATGGTGGCGGTTCTCTGTGGATGTCGTCCAGGGGAGGCTGGGTGACCAAGTGGGGGATGCCTGGTGTAGCAGCTGGAGTCAGAAAGAACTGGGTTCTACTGCTGTCACGTAGTAGCTGTGTGACCCTGGATGAGTCACTTAATCTCTGTCTGCCTCAGTTTCCTCATCTGTAAAATGGGGATAATAACAGCACCTACCTCGGAGGATCAAAGGAGGTCATAATTGTAAAGTGGTTAGCACAGTGCTCAGCACGTAGTGCGTACTCTATCAATGTTAGCTGTTGTTATTATCATTACCAGCCACTGTGCTAAGTGCCACAACCAGACAGTCCTGCCCTCAAGGGACTTACATTCTGATCTACTCCAACACATTGAAGGGAGCAGTGACTAGGGAGGGTGTTTTGATCTGGGAAGTCGCAAGGATGGTGAGAAAAGCCACGTGGCAGTCCACGGATGCATCCTTCCTTACCAGAAGCCATGATCTAGTGATCCGATGATATTTCCCAGAGAAAGTGGTAGGAAGAGGGAGAGGGAGGAAGGCATAGCAACGGGAACGTGGCCGTGCTTGGGTCTTAGGCTAGCTGAACATAAGGAGGTCTCCCCAATCTAGACAGCAGGTGTTCCCAAGATCCTCCAGGGCTGCTCAGATACGGATGAGGCCAGATGTCGTCGGAGGCCCTGTCTGCATCACCTTTGATGCCTGGCCTGAGATGTGAAAGATGAAAACAAATAGCCGGATCCTTGCCTTGGGGAACGCAGGCAGCCCCAAGGTCACCCACTGAGAAGTGGGGTCCAAAGACTGGGGTTCTAGTCCAGGCTTTGACACCCACTAGTTCTGGGCCTTTGAGGAAGTGATGTCACTCTGAACCTCAGTTTCCTCCTCAGTGAAATGAGTGCTTTGGCCCACATGGTCTCTGTGTTCCTCATCACACACTCCTGCTGCCTCGGAGTCAGCCCCTTTGGTGGGGCTCCCTTTTCCTGTTCTTCTCTCTAGGCATGACCCTGAGGACTAGCTGGCTTTAGAAGCACCATTGATTGGCATTTCTGGTCTCTCTCTACAGGTGCCCCTGGTTGACCAGAGCCATCTCCCCCGCTGTCCCCATCTACAATGGGATCGTTTTCCTCTTTGTGTTGGCCAACTTCAGCATGGCTACCTTCATGGACCCCGGTGTCTTCCCTCGAGGTAACAGGGAAGGGCGGGGTGGTGGGATGGGGCTCCGGGGTGGTGGGATGGGGCTCTGGGGTGGTGGGATGGGGCTCCGGGGTGGTAGGATAGGGCTCCGGGGTGTAGGTTGGGATCCAGGGTGGCCACTGGCTCAGTCACCTCTGCGGGGGAAATGGGAGGGCACCTGGTCACCAGCCACGGGTGAGGAGCAGAGCTTGTGGTGGGGATGACAGGGGAACCGAGACTCAATGAGACCAAACCAATGGGTGGCACCTTCAGAGCTAGGGTTTGAACCCAGGACCTTTGACTCCATAGTTAAGGTTTTTTCCTACTATCCCAAGGAAGAGGACTTATTGTGTAAGGGCACCAAAGGGCTTAGAGTGAGGCGAAGCCTGGGATGGATCCCACAGCCCCCAGGGAAAGGGAGGAAGGCAGAGGAGCTTGTCTGGGGCATCTCCACTGCAGTGGACACAGGGCATCTTCATGTCTAGGACTTTCATGCTGCCCTGTGTTCTTTGAAGCATTGTACACAGGCTGGCCCTCCCCCATCTCTCCCATCCCCCTTCTCTGGATTTCAGCATCCCCTCGGGGCTAGATGACATGAAGTGGTGAAAAGAGCTTTAGATGTGGAATCAGGGGGCTTGAATTTGAATTCTACCTCTGTTCCTTCCTTCCTAAGTGACACTGGGCGAAGTCTCTTCTCTTCCCTAGTCCTCAGTTTCCTTCTTTGTAAAATGAGGGAATTGGACTGAATGATCTCAGATCTCTGACCTAGGTTCAAATCCTGACTCTACCACTATTTATTTGACCCGGGGCAGGTCCCTTCCCCCACTTTGGGACTCACTATTGTCCTTGGATGTTGCACTGGACGCTGTCCAGGGTCCCTCCTGGGCTCTGCTCTGGGCCGGCTCAGGCTCCCAGGCTGGAGCCAAGATTGGGAGCGGACCCTGAGCGTCCTCATCTACTGAGGCACGTCCTGGGTGGCTGGAGCCTCCCCCAGCCTTCTGGATGGGCAGTAACTCTCCTCCTTGGCTCTGCCTTTTGGGGTGTGAGCAGCGGATGAGGACGAGGACAAGGAAGACGACTTCCGGGCGCCGCTCTACAAGAACGTGGAGATCAAGGGGATTCAAGTACGGATGAAATGGTGCGGCACCTGCCACTTCTACCGGCCCCCACGCTGTTCTCACTGCAGCGTCTGCGACAACTGCGTGGAGGTAACTGCCACCAGCCAGGAAGCCCAGGGACTGGACCCGGGGCCGGGGCCTGGGGCTGGGCTGGAGACCCAGGGCTGGGCTGGGACCCGGGGAGTCCGGAAGCCCTGAGCTGTCTGGGCCACAACTGAGGGCCTGGGGCTGGGCTGGGGACCCAGGGAGGCCTGAAGCCCTGAGTTGTCTGGGCCACAACTGGGGACCCGGGGCTGGGCTGGGGACCAGGGTCCATGGGAGGCCACAACCAGGGAACC